ATTCCCTGGATTCTGCCTGCACCATGCCTGTGTTCATAGCATGATAACAGCAGTTATCTAAAAGATCTGCCCTCATCATTGGTGAAAACTCAGGAAAATAGCCATGGATGCTTGGGTTTGAGCCCTTAGTGTCCTCTGAAATAACTATGATTATTCTATGATTAAAATGATGCAGGATCTCCCTACTTGCAGTGATTATTGTAATAATTCAGGGAAGCTCTTAAAATGAATCTTTTCTGTATGTTTTCATGGTGGTGGGTTTCATGTGGAGACTTTTCTGGCAACTACCCTGTCTGAGCAAAGGCTCGTGTTGCAGGCATCTGTGCAGCTTGTTCCAGGACTGTTTGCTTTTGAGCTCCATCTGCTGGAATTGTATTCTGTTTCCCACATCTTCAGTGTTATTTTGCTGCCAGGTTTCACAGGAATTGCTTTTCATTCAAGACTAAGGAACAAAGTTCACAGCTCTGAGGAATTTCTAGCAACTTGCTGGTCCTTTTGCTTGAGGAGTCAAACTAAGGATTGCTTGGAGAATACAAAGCTCAAAACACAAACTAATTGTGAGACTGAGGAAAAGAAAGAACAGTTTTTTCTTCACTTTTGTCTACAGAGTTAGTTTCTGGGTGTTTTATGGAGATTTGGATTAATCAGATCAGTCATAACCTTCCCATTGTAACTGTTTCTCAAATGTCAGAATATTCAAGGACAGAAGGGACCGTGGTGAAGGTCTAATTTGATTCTTGTAGTTCCATTGTTCTTTAACAAAAAGGGACTGCAAAGAATAATGTGCAAAATTGGAAAAGAGGGTCCTGCTGTGCAAAACCACCCTTAAAAGTGTTGAAGTAGTCAGAGGCTTTCACAGTAAATTATATGATGAGTTTCTACAAGTTTTCTTTGTCAGCAGCACTGTTCTCTGTTCAGAGAATACATTATACTGTAGTGACAGGACATGGGGTGATGGCTTTAAACTTCAGGGGAAGTTCAGGTTATATATATGGCAGAAGTTCTTCCCTGTGAGGGTGCTGAGGCGCTGGCACAGGGTGCCCAGAGAAGCTGTGGCTGTCCCATCCCTGGTGGTGTTCAAGGCCAGGCTGGACATAGGGGCTTGGAGCAAGCTGCTCTAGTGGAAGATGTCCCTGGGGATTGGAACTGGGTGAGCTTTAAGGTTCCTTCCAACCTAAACCATTCCATGATTCTATGATTCTTCTCAACAATAATGTGTATGTCTAGAATCAGGACTGCTACCAGCTCTTGGGTGCAGACACTGGTGTTGGCAGCATGGGTAATTCTAAAGATCAAGCATGCCTCCTCAAAAACCAAACCACCCACATCTGGAATTTTTCTGTCGTTATAGGATTAATACTACCTTACTTCCCCTATCCCTAAGCTACATCCCTACATGTTACTGAGGGATATTCTGTCTCATCATGAGTTTGTGTGTATGGTAATTTCAAATATTACTGCCTTGCTGTCCATCTGCCTGTTAGCAATATTTTGTATTCACTTACGATGTTTACAGCTTTTTCTTTCCTACACAGCAAACTTTGCCTGAACTGGTTTTAGTTTCTTGATGTGGGTAGCTCCATGTTGTTATACCCAAGTCTTGGGTATAGGAGTAGGGAGATGGAGAACAGAGAAGCACTAGGGTTGATATTAAAGATAAGTGTTCTTTTCTTTGCAGTTCTGCCCTGTGCTTCTCATGGATATGGTATACCTCATTCTGTGGTGTATTCAACTGGTGCCCAAGCTTGTCCCAGCCTGAGTTGGTCCATCTGCCCCCACAGATTTCAGTGATGCTGCCCAGCTCATAACCCCAGAGACCTGGTCAGGGTGATGCATTTGGACAAAACACTCTACTGATCCAGCTCTGTAACTTCCAGGTTTGCCACTGGTTCTGGCTCCACTGTGCAGTACCCATATGTGCTGTGTGACACTAGATAAATGATGTAAGCCTGCTTCACAGTAACCTGGGTGCCTGTCACATTCCTTGCTTCCTGCACAGTTGGGGGGATAAGGTCATTAATGGGTATGCAGTGATGTACTTCACTGAAAGACCTATTTACTTTCTCAGAAAGTAATCACTGTAATGGATTTCTTAGGCTTTTGCATGGGACAAAGCTGTCAGTCATTTTTCACATAGGTTTGGAGGAATATTGTTTGTATTTCCTAACAGCTTCCTATAAAATGGAAAGATAGCCAAGGCATTTCTTGGTTGCTAAACTTCATTGTTAAATGGGTATGTGCTGCCTTAGGTTGGTATTTAAAGTGCCATGTTTTGAGGTCAGTATTTCTTAGACCTACAGAGATGTAGGCAGTTGAGGATCAGGATTCTATTAGTAACTACTACTGTGTTCTGAGATTGGAACTGACTGGTATGTAACTCTTTCCTGCTGTAGAATAAGTTAGATATTGTGACTGTTATTTCTGTAATGACAAGTACTCAGGATTTAAAAGCACGCAGTGAGTAATCATGGTCAACCCTCCTTATAACTCACTTCTCTTCGTGGGATACAAGCGTGAGGGGTTTGCTGGGTTTAGTAGAGACCCAAATTCTAATTAATATTCCTGTGTCCCAAACATGTTGTTCTGATTAGAGGCTCTGTGCTAGGCATTTCTGTGGAGCCTGCCCTGTTTGAAACCCTGCCTTTTTCTGACTTCACTTCCTGAATCCGTTGACAACACTCACAGCCAAACAAAATACATGTTCACAATGCTGTTATTTGCAAAATATTCCCTTGTGAGTACAGCTGGGGCAACAGAAAGAGAGTTTCTCTCTGAATCTCAAAGAAAACTGGCTATTCCTCATAGAAGCGAGGCACATAGCGCATCAGGCAGCTTTAATCTAAGCAGTTAAGTAAGTGTTAAAACTTTACATTTCACCACATACAAATGCAGGCGCATCTCTCATTACAGTTTGTGTGTATTGATCACTGAGTGACTTAGTGATATACTGAGAGTGCTGAACTGTAATCTCTGCTGAAGTGAACCAGATAGCAACAGGCTCATAGCCCACTACACTGTTTACAAAACAGATGGAGGCAGAGGGAATATAAACTTACTTTGCCCTGTCTTAAGCCTGATGCTGAGATGAGATGTGGACCAAAGATTCATCTAAATCGCTCATCTCTTTCTGAAACTCTGTAACTGGCACTAAACCCCACCTTGCTTGATGGTGGTGGACACCAGCACCTGAGCTGGACCAGGTCGAATAACTCATGGCACAGAAACCAACCTGCCAGGTGATGCCCACCTAAGGAGCAGTGCTATTACTCAGTAACTCTTTAGCTACAGAATGTCATACTCGAGAGAGAGAAGACACATAACTGCAATGCTAAGTGTCCCTGTGTGCGTATTAGGAGAGGGTGGAGCAGACTGTCACTCAGCTGTGTTTAATTAACATAGGATTTTCTCTAATGTATTTATTTAGTATGTAATGAGGTGATGAAGCAGAATGCTTGCTAGTAACATTGAGTCCATAACCCAGCACTGCTGAGAGTTAAACATGCACCTTTGCAGGTAATTAATCTCCTTGCCCTGCTTATTTTGCTAGTTGGCACTTGCTAAATCCCTGTAAAACCACACCCAGCAGTGCTGTGTATTATCCCTCTGCTGTCTATTCCTACATATGGTCAAAATCAACTTACCTTCCGGGTTGCTGACATCAGCAAAATGTACTCTTGGCAAAGTACAGTATCCTCCTAGTAACCCTTTGTTTGGTTGGTGTTGTTACAGTTGTATTCCTCTGACAGCAGCAAACACCATCTAAACGGTGCCTACCTTGACAGTTGGATTTTCTTGTGAAGGGAGATCACCATATAACCCCATTTTAAACACTAAAACAAACCCCTCATGATAAAATGCATATAATATGGGCAGAAAAAAAGCTGGAGGGATGATACTTCTATGCTTCCTGTAAGGAACTGACCCACATTAGTCGCAAGTTTCAGGGTATCATTTTGATAACAGTAAAGGTGTATATGTATCCAATCGTTATCTTGTGAAGTGAGCTTTAATAGGACTACTGCTTGTTTCTAGTTCAATGAGAAAAGACACTCTTAACACTGCTCTAAAAAGTTACCATTCACTAATGATGAATTTCTAATATTTCTGGCTGTCTTTTGATAGCATCTATTTCCTCTTGGCTGTTTGGCTCTAGGCAGCAAGCAGGAAAACATCTGGTCTCCCTGCAAATACATGCTTATTAAACTACAAGAATTGGGCACAGTGTTGAAAACCCTGGTATAATAATTGTGTCTGTCCCCCCCCCACGAGTTAAGCAGCGTGTTTCTAAGACATGTGTTTATATTGTCATTGTACTAAACCCTAAGTTATTTTATTAAAAGTACATGGGAAGCACCAGAAAAGTTGGTCTTTTCATCAAGTGGCTGAAAACAAGCAATAGGAGTTGCTGTTTCTCAGCAAGTTGCTTTTATTTCCCACTAGGCTGTTTTCCTATTTCTAAAAAGCTTAGAACTGTGACCCCCAAAAGGATTTAGAGAGGAAGGGTTAGAAAATTATTTTACTGTTGACAGCAGCATTGTTATAAGTACTCACAACCAAGGATCACCTCCTACCTAGGAAGGACCACAGGAACAAAGGTGAACATCATTGCTGGTGTTGAAGCCTAAAACATGTTTTGTTTTGGGGTTTAAGACAACCACTTGCCTGATCTTCTTGAGGGCATTAATAAGAAAAACATGTCAGATCAAGTCGCCAGTTGCCCCAGTTATGGAGCAACTTCATGCACTGGCTTTCTACCCCGCTACATGCCATCTAAATTGGGCCAGTAGAATACAGCAGGCAAACTGGTCAGGTTAAACTACGAGCTACTTCCAGACAACCCAAAAAGTTGCTTCAGTTTAGCAATGAGGATTCAACTACTCCCTCTCCTCCTCACCCACTCTCCAAGAGCAAGTTGAATAGAATCCCTACCATCAGAGTTCAGCACAAAGGGCATTTTCCCAACTCAGGTACTATCAAAACAAAAAGTGTGAGGGGGGAAATGCATTTTAATTCTTTTATTTTTTCTTAAATATAATAGAACCTTCTAGATTTTTTTTTCCAGAAACAGAAACATTAAAAAATTATACTTTATTACAAATGGTAAACTCAGAGTGCTAAAAAAAAGCCTCTTATTTACAAACAATACTGGGCAGTGCCCAAATAAACAACATAAAAATAACTTACAAAGTCATGAAGTAGTTTATTGACATTAATCAACTTTCATAAAATAAAATAAAAAAGGATCTGTACATACACAATTGACTCAAGGCAGGCAGAATAGTTCTGGGGTTGTTTATCAGCCTCCCACAAACCTCCCTCCCACTTGGTTTTGTTTTGTTTCTTAAGGAATACTACATAAAGCAATCTACAGTTTCTATTGTAGTTTAACCTTTAATACTGAATGATCATCGAATGTTAGGTCCATGCAGGTCTTGGTCAATGTTAAACGAAGATCTGACATCTCACCGGAGCAGGAACAGCACTTCTCGGCGTGGTGCTGGCCGCTCTCTCGAGCTGAAGGCTCACCAGTCTTTCCACACATGCGCTTTGCAGAGCACAGGCAGGACTCAGCCTTTCAGCTTTTGCCATCAGCTTTACGCATCTGCCACTTTTGGTGGGGTTTGTTTTTTGTTTGTTTTAGTTATACCACAATCTCACAGTTCTCATTTAAGACAGTCTCTTCAAAACGTCTGCAACTGCTGTGTTAGCATTAGCTGGCACCCGCTGTTGACATGGTTCATGACCTTCTGCTTAAGCTGTGCAACCTGTTCTCTGAGCATGTTGGCAGTGGATGCCAGCTCTGAGTTCTGGGCTTTCAAAGTTTTCACTTTTTCTTCCAACCTGGCAATCCTTTCCAACTTCCTTTTCCGGCATTTGGATGCTGCAATTCTGTTTCTCATGCGTTTTCTCTCGGCTTTGATTCTCTCCTGTGACTCCATGTCAATAGGGGACAGGGGAGGAGTTTCCCCTGGCATTTCAGGTACAGTCTGAGGCTCTTCTTTCAAAGCCTGCAGCCTGGGATGCTGCACCGGCATCTGGGGGTTTATGTGATGCTGGGGTGCGTAGCCCATGTTGTTCGCGTTGTAGTTAGGTGCGGAGTTGAGCGCGTTGGGGTTGAAGTTGCTGAGATTGGCGTACACCGGGGGCTCGCTGTGCAAATTCGTGTTGAAACTACTGTTGCCGGCCATGGAGGACACAGGTGCCATGCCGCTGTTCACAGGTTGAGCAGCGGAGGTCACGCTGGGCATAGTGTTCTGGTTGTGCAGTTCCGCCAGCGCTCTCACGAAGCCTTCCGCGAACCCTTCTTGCTCGTCGGTGACATTTTTGGGGCAGAGGAACTGCGTCGGGGTCGGCGTGGTGGTGATTAACCCATTGCTGGACTGGATAATGAGCCGCTCCAGTTCAGGCGAGGCTAGTTTCAAGAGTCCCACGTCCGGGGAGGTGAGGATGTCGGCGTTCTTGTTTCTCAGGTGCGGCTTCAGGTTGCTGGATGGGTCGGACAGGTTCAGCGTCATGTTCTGCTTCAGCACTTTGGCGTTATTATATCCATACCCGCCGCTCTCCGGCGGCACGAAGCTGGCGTTCAGGGCATCCTCGTAGAAAGTAGGCTCCATCTTTGCACTCATAGAACAGAGTCCGCGGAGTGGCGCCGGGAGCTGCGGCAGAGCCGAGAAGCCGCCCGGCCGCCGCTTGCGCCCCGCTCCGCCACCCCAAACCCTCCCGGCCGCGCAGGGAGCGGGAACGGGGAAAGCAGAGCCTTACTTCAGGCCGGGGCGCGGAGAGCTCTCCCGGCGCGGGCCGGGCCCGCGGTGCTTGCGGCCGCCGCGCTGAGAGTCCGCCCGGTGTGGCTGAGCGGCGCGGGGCTCCGGCGCGGTGCTTGGTCCCCCTCCTCCTGCTGCTGCGGGGCCGCTCCGCCGCCACAAGTTGCCGCGAGAACTTTGTCCGCTTCCCTTCGCGCCCTCCCGGCTCCGCTGTGCCGCCGCTCTCCGCTCGCCTCTACCCAACGGCCACAGCCGCGCTCCCGCCTGCCCGCCCCGCGCTCTGAGCCCGCTCCCGGCGTGGAGCCCTTCACTTATCAGCGACCGGGAGCCCGCTAAAAATAGCCCATGATGTCACCCCGCGGGCTCCCCATTGGCTGCCGCCGCCTCTCCCGGGGGAGGCGGGCCGCTGGCCCGGCCCGGTGCGGATCAGCCGGTCGCCATGGCCACCCCGCCCCTAGAAGCTTCTGAGCGCGGGCGCGGGGCCTTGTGGGATGAGGTAATGCTGGCGGCGGCTCGGGGCATTGTGGGCTGACGTCTTGTTTTTGAATAGCTGGTTACCGCGTACACAGCGCGCACCGGGTTGGCCGCCGCCGGCGCCTCCTTAACGGACGCGTACCAACCGCCCCACCGGGAGGGGGGGTTGTGCGGAGAAGCCGCTGCCCCCTTTTCGCCCCTAGGCCTCATCCCGTAACCCATCACCGGCAAGCAGCCGCCTCGCTCTCGGTTTGTCGTCTGTTTGCCCGCCGGCCGGTCCCCGCGGCGGGCTGTGCGCTGGCGGGTTACTGCCTGTTGCGCCCCCCCCACCTCACACCCCTCCGCCGGCGGTGGTGGTGGTACGGCCCTTCAGGTTGTGCTTCGGGGGAGGCCTCACGTGATTTCCCTTCCTCGCCGTCCGTGCGGCTTCCAGGCAGCTCTGGGGGCGGTGCTCGGGGCCGGGGCGGGCACCAACCGCCGCGGGGCGGCCCCCGCCTACGCGCCCGCCCCGCTGAGGGGCCTCAGCGCCTCACGCCATCCCCCCGTCCCCTCCTTGTCCTCCCGCCGGCCGGGCGCGCCCGGGGCTGGCGGCCGCGGAGGCCTCGCCCTCGCTTTCGTCCGCCTTCACCCTCCGGGGAGCCCCGTCGTGCGGGAAGGGCCTCCCGGCTCCCGGCGCGCCGCCAACGCTGCCGGCTGTGAGGTGCGGGGAACGGCCAGCAGCGCTGTGGGGCCGTGTGGGCCTCCCTTCCTCCGTCTGATACCGCCTGGTCGCTGTGGGGTGTCGGCGAGGGCACGGCTTGTGGTGGGGGTTGTCGGTTCCTGGCCTCAAAACCGCGCCAGGACGGCAGAGGAGGAGAGGGGATGTAAAGCCTACAGGAAAAATCCCGGCTCCAGATGGGCTTCCCTAAAGTCGTCCTCCAAGGGGAGGGGACAGCACGGCCTAATTTTAGACAGAGTGCCCTAGTATTACTGTGGATGTACAGGTTAGTCGGGAGGGAGAATAAAAGCTGGAGTCGAAGCATTCTAGTCGAGGAGGAGAGTTTGCGCTGGCATGTTCACCTGGGAGTAACAGATGGGTGATACCTGGTTCGCTGTCACTGCTCCACGCTGAACGTGGTGTGCACATCCCTCATAAAATATATGCCCTGCTGCCTGGGTTCATTTCTCTTACCTTTCCCCTCCACACCCTTCTCTCTGGGAGGTGTGAAGTTGTGAATGCTGACAGGCCTCTGGAATAAAGTGCATCAGCTGTTTAAGGACCCGAGATGGCAACACTGGGTAGGACAGGGACTGAAGCGGTTTACTGTTGCTAACAGTGCAACAAGTGCTCCTTAGGCTTGCAACACAAAGCTGTTGTTACGTGTTGTAGGATAGACCAGTGAAGAGCTTGGTCTATCAGGTTTAATCACTCGTTACGATAGGTGAAGCTGACAAACTTCTGTCTAGGTTTGAAAATACACTTTCAAATTCTCTGGTGCTATTTTTTCCTAGACATAATGACATAATTACCAGTTATGGTGTAGGAAGCAACAATGAAGCAAACAGAAACAAGGGCAGCTGCGACACAGAAGTGAAGGTCTGGCTCCCCTGTTTGAACTTGCACATTTATTTTGCTCTGTTTCACCTGGGTGTTCCCACCTGGCTTCATCTGACCACACGGTGGGCCCTCGTGTTACTTTGTGTGAGAACTGGGGCTGTGCAAGTAATACCCGCACTTCTCTATGCTTGCGCTAACAGCCCGTGGCATGAAATGCAAAGCTTTGGCCGGGAAGGGAGGGCTTGCTGCATGTTGCTGGTATACACACAGCCTTCACATAGGCAGCATCTGCCTGTCTTGCAGGTAACTGAGACTCAAACTGCTGTTGGAGCATCAGCTGCCAATGGCTTAGCCAGAGAGCAGTGAGTTGTTGCATATGCATAAGAATCTCTGAAATTCATTAGTGTGGTGAACGCTAGAAGCAGTTGTTTAACTCCTTTTTAAGCTTTACATAAAGATAAATAGAGGCTGGTGACTGACTCTTATGGCACAAGAGCCAAGGGGCATCAAATGAAGCTGGCAGGTTCAGAATAAACCAGAGAAATGTCTTCACAGAAATGCAGCTCAGCTGTGGAACTCCTTGGCAAGAGTGCTGTGTGGACTCAGGGACTCTAAAGTGATTAGATGAATTCACAGCACAGAAATCACTTGAGGGCTATCAAATGCAGCCTGTTGGCTCTGGAAAGCCCAAAGCTTGTGCCTGGGAGAGCATCCTGAAGCAAACCTGCTGTGTGGTGCCCTGATTTTGTGTGCCTCTCCAGGTATCTGTTCTTGGCTCCTGGCTGAGATAGGGGATCTGGTCTGACCTGACGTGGCTGGCCTTGCTGTGCTCAAACTCCCCTGAGATAGCCCATGAAAGATCTGTGTTGTGTCTCGGTGCGTTTCTGGTCTTTATAAAGGGCTTGTCTATGCAAAGAAGAAATTCTGGAGAAACGTAAGGAGTGAATTTTGAGTAGTTTGCTGTGTGGATCGTGTTTCTTATGAAATAAGAATTATTTTAGAATTAAGCTAAAAAGGTTTTGTTTTGTTTTTTTTTCTGGCTTCTGTTACATAGGAAGCCATGCAAATACTTCGCTTCAGTCACTTTTCTGTATTGACAATACTAATTTTGTTCTGATTAATTGCCATATTTAATGTGTTAGAATTTCATTGGTTTGGTTTATCTTTTGGGGGCTTCTCTGCATGTCTCCTTTGTCCTAGAAAGCCAAGTTCAGACTACAAGGAACATGGTCAGTGTAGCTTTAATCACTCTAATATATATTTGTATAAGCTGAAAAGCTCTGCCTCTGTAGTTTGTCCAGTTCAGCCCCATTCTATCAAATGCAGGTTTTTCATTAGCTTCAGTGTGTGTTAGATCGAGCTGGAGGGATTCATTTAAAGTCATTTAATGTCTTCTCCTTTTTTTTCCTTATCCTCCACCCATTTTAGTTTTCGACTTCCTTCCTTTTGCAGAGGTGGAGTTTCAGGACCAGACATTCCAGTTTGCCAGAGACGTGTTGCTACCGAGGCCTGTAGCTATGGGGGACACCCATCAGTCCACTCATTATGTTAATTGCTACTCACTTAGAGGTTATTTGGCCGGGGCCGGCAACAGACAGTCGAGCTGGTCAGAAAGGTTGTGCATAGCAGGCGAGAGCTCTGAAATCAAAGCCAAATGCTCTTTGCTGCTCCGAGGGGATTTTCTGCCTAATTCGGGACGAGACTGGTGAGCGGGTGCTTAGGGAGGTCTCAGCTTAGATTTCAGCCAAGTGCCCCAGGTTCTGCCCCTGAGACTCACTGAGTGCTGCCCATGAACAGTGATCCTTCCTGGCCATTAGCCAAGGAGCTGGGAATTTTGGTGACTATGCCCTGATTTATTGAACACCTCTTACTTTAGGGCTTTTCCCCCCTCCTTTCCTGGTGTCCTTAAGTGAATATTCCTTTAGTAGCATGAAGGAAGAATTACAAACCCATTTATAAACCATAGCCATTTACATATCTCACTAACCTAGCTTGTGGGTAGGGATTGAAATGAACTATCTCTCTGTTGCTGTGAGAAGCAGATGCATGGAGCAGCAGTAATGCAGATTTTGATTTATAAAGTTCTCTAATCAATCAATGCAAGCCTTGAGTGAAGCAATCAGATCATCTGAATAATTAAATGGCTTTTCAGGGACAAATTAAAATTTCTTATACATACCACATCCATCTAAATGATATTTGGTGACCAGGAATAAATGGATTTGTTGTTTTCTTCCCCTCCTGTAGCACAAATGCTTTTGGCTTATTTCTAGACCATTTGTAAAAGAAAGAAGAAGGGGTAAATGACAGATTCTGTTCTTTTATATTGGAAAAGGTGCTCGTGGAAAGGAAACACTTATTTTCATACAGTTTTCTTCTTTTTTTAAACTTTACTATATTCCACTGTCTTGCTTTTTCTCCTCAGCAGAGATGTTTCCACAATATTCTTCTTATATAGACAATTATTTTTGTGATATAGGGTATATTTAAACTCAATGCATTCAAATGTGACATCCTGTTTCACCTCTGCATGAACTAAGTAAGAGTGGGTATTACTGGGTCTTCTCACACTCTTTTTCACTTGCTTAAGGAATTACTAGAGAGCAGGTTTCCCCAGCTGAGGAAGACGAGTTTGAACAGTCAGAAGGAGCAAGTGTTTCTCTTTTACTTACTGCATCAGAACACAGAAAAAGAAGCTGGAGTGAGAGGGCACAAAGAACAGAGTTTCCTTAGGCTAAAAGGAAGACAGATAATTCCTGGGTGCTCCTGCTCCCAATTCCTCCCTGTGTTTTCATAGTCAGTCCAAGTCCACTGGAGTCTGCAGCACAGCATAGGTACGGCAAAGAGGTGCCACCTCATCCACCCCCAGCTTCCATGGCCTCCCCTTTTACTCTTTGCTCCCAGGAGGGCTCATGTGGCCAAGTAGAGATCCAGGAACTGAATCTGGCTGAAAGCTGAAATTAAATATATATAATATTTATATATTTGAGGATACAAGGGAGGGGTGGGAATGCATTGGCTGGGGGAAGAGTGGGACTAAGAGCTTGAAGTGAAGGACCCTGGAAGCAGATCTGAAAGCTGGTCTTGAGCTAGTCTGCAGTTTGTGCATGAAAAGTGCTTCTCAGAACTAGAGGCACTTGTAAATGAATATCATGTCCATCTCCTCCACCCTCAGTTACTCATCGCATAACCAAGCCGTCCGCCTTTAGTCCTTTTCATCTTTCTTCTTGTCAAGCCCTTTAGCCTGTCCCCCTCACCTACTCATCCCGCCAATCATTTTAATTAATCTCTGAATTTCTTTGAAACTAATAGTTTGTGGAATGGAGGAAAATGAGTAGGTTAGAAAGACAAGATTGGGAATGACGGAGGTGGGGCCAAGTTAGGAGCCTTTGCAAGACCTGTTGGGTTACCTCTGGGGCAGGACAGTAACACTTGGCTGTAAACGCAGAGAAACACTGCAGAACTAAGGGAGGAACCACTAAAAACCTTTTCCATTTTCTTAAGAATGTTCCCTGAGCAATTCAACCCCTGCGTGTTTATGTGCAGCAACACGTGAATGAAAGATTTGATATGATCATCTCTTTATCCAGTTTTCTCGCTATTACTTTTCCCATTTCCAGGTAGCTTTGTAGAGGATTTCAGTGGCTACTGAAAATGCCCAGGAACACATTTTCAAACAAGTAATAAACTATATATTTTTTATTCAAACTGTATGTATTTTATCATTTTTTATCAAAAACCTGACCGAATAGAAGCTAACTGCAGTGTCTAGAGATAAGACACTCTGGGGGCTTGCTCCCCATGCTTTTTTAGGATGTTACAAATCAAAATGTCACACCATTAATGTCTCTGTGTTCATCATTTCTGTTCCATAGCATAACTGGTGCTCTGAGAAATAGAGAATTGGACAAAATTGCCATCCTGTGGAGCTTACAGTCAGAAAAATCCTCTACACACAAAGCAGGCTGAGAGAATAGCAGCTGATCTGCAGCGGGAGCCCCAGGAGTGCAGGTAAGCGGTCAAGGAGGCACCGGAGGACGGGTGGCATATGGGCAGCAGACGGCTGCCCTCAGTGTTGCGAGCTGGCAGCATGAGAACATTACCCCCACAAATAGAAGCTGCTAATGCTGAGTGGTGGGGAGGCAGATGAACACCTCTGAAAGGATATTTACTGTGTTTGGGAATGAGGATCCCACTGGAAGCCTGCATTTGTTCTGAGGTTGCTGGGCTGTGGTTTCACTGGAGAACTGAAATTTGCTTTCTGGCATTTTGATGGTCCAATAAACACGTATTAAAGTCAGTAGTGGCAACAAAATGCATTGATTTATGGTTGCAATTGTGACTGAAAGGCTCAGAAGAACTGGATTTAACCCTTCGGAGCCCTTGGTGAATAGCTCAGTTTTGGTGAGGGTCTCGGAATGGGTACAAAATGCTTGGATTTTTCATTAATAAACAATATGGCATCCTGTCAAAGTTAACACCTCACTCTGTCTTAGCAGCTGTTGGAACAGTAGGCTCCTGGCAACCTGGGATAAAAGCAGTGTTTGCAACAGGAGAAGGAAAGGAAGCAAGTCTGTGTGAGACCAAAAATGCCTGGTGTAAAGCACCGTAGAGTTTAGGTATATCCAGTGAGGAATTGTGCTTTCCTTCTCTGTGCTGTGGGTTCAGGCTTGGACCTGGACACTGAGTTTCTGTTATTGAATGTCACCAGTGGCTGGTGGCTGACAGATGTAAGGACACCTGTCTGAATTAGAGTAATGTTTCTGACAGGAGTAGCAGTAAACAGAGAAAGCATTGCCCAGTGAAAGTAGGTCCTGCAGGTTGCTCCTTCCCAGGGATTATAGTGGTGGAGCCTGTAGGGAAGTTTACAGAATGCCTGCTCATGGAATTCAAATGGAAGCATTCACTCTGGATGACAGTCATTTGTGTTGGAGTCATGGTGTGGGAGCATTTGGGGTTGCCAAATAGGCAAGGAAGGCATTGCAGGGAGGAAAGGGCATGGCCTGGGTGGGACAATACCTGAAAGCACAAGCAGAGTTACAGACTTGAGTTTGGGAGAAGATGCTACTGAACTCTTAATCCCATCTGATTCATAATAAACCTGATCTCTGATTGCAGCTGATGTATCACACAGCGACTGTGTGGCTGCTCCCCACTGGTCAGGGCAGCCCTGTCCCCTCACAGGGTGGGAATGTCCTGGTCTTGTCCACAGCAGCCCCTTAGGACTTCCACAGGAGAACAACCAGGATACTCACACCCCTCAGAACTGCTGTTCTTTCCTCTTTTCTTGGTTAAGAACAGTGTGCAGTTGCCAACACTACAGTGTCTATATGTGCCCTTGTTTCAGAAGGAAGCAGAGGTGGAAAATTTAGCGTGGAATTCAGTATTGATCCCTACCTGAGATCCTGGTTTTCCACAGGAACACTGCTCACATGTGTGGTGGATTGGCAGATGCACTGGTCAGCTCACAGGGCTGTTTACACAGTCTGCTGAGGACATACGAAACAGATAAAAAAAGCCATAACATTTGAATACATTAGAAAAAAGTTCATGAGATCAAAGGACATTTTTTGGATAAAAGGGCAGTAATAAAGCAAAGGCCTAAGGCCTTAATGGCTGCTAATTGAAATTCAGGGTTAGTCTGAATTTTGCTTTAGTTTTTTTAGTTGTTTTTAGAGAACACAACTAGAAAGACATTCCAGAAATGGCTGTGTGGTACTTAGGGGTCTGGGTAGCAGCTGCAGCGTGCACATGTTTGCAGAGGCTTCTGTTCAGCTAAGCATGGGCTGTGGACTCAGGTAAGTCATGTGAGAGAGGTTAAGCGCGTGTGTTGTAAGAGCTAATGGTACAATGTTGCCTTGTTCTCTCTAAGCATGTTTTGTGCTGATGTTTTCCAGTTGCTGCGTTCCTTACAGTCAGGATAGGAAAAGGTGTGTGGCTGGCAAAACTGCAAGCCCAGACAGAGTAGTTCTGGGTGTGGATGCTTCCAGCCTATTGCCAGGTGCTTCAAATAGGCATTTATGCCAAAGATCTGAGGTCAAGCCAATGATAGCCAATTCCAGCCCTAGGTTATTACATAAATATTAATAAGAACAGGGGTGTATTTCACATTTAGGTACTGTCTGTGAAGTATTTACCTAACCCTGTAGCAGTAATGGTGGGGAATATTTATCCCTTCAAGAAAACCAAGAGAATTTACAAAGTGAAGCAAAAATTTGTTGACCCTTTTAATATAACCTCATGAGTTTAATGAGAAGTCATCTTATTTTCTGTGTACCAGTAGAGAAATACAGGAGAACAGAATAAACTGAAATGGAACAGAAGTGCATTTTTATGGAATCCTAGACTGGTTTGGGTTGGAAGGGACCTCAAAGCTCATCCAGCTCCAACCCCTGCCACAGGCAGGGACCCCTTCCACTAGAGCAGCTTGCTCCAAGCCCCTGTGTCCAACCTGGCCTTGAACACTGCCAGGGATGGGGCAGCCACAGCTTCTCTGGGCACCCTGTGCCAGCGCCTCAGCACCCTCACAGGGAGGAGCTTCTGCCTAAAGTCTAATCCAGATCCCCTCCTCCCCCCCCCCCAATCAGGTTAAAGCCATCCCCCCTTATCTTGTCACTATATGTCCTTATAAAAAGGCCCTCTCCAGATTCCTTGTAGACCCCTTTTAGTCTTCCCTGGTTTTGCCTCTCTGCTGCATGACCTCTAATCATTTTCTTTATCTCTGTGGCTTGATTTCACTGCCTGTAAAATGGGCATAATGGGACTGTAGTTCTAGTAAATCATGCAGGTCTATGGGGAATAAATGCTATACAAGTGGTATACAAAGAACTATTTTTATTTTTAAAAATGCATTAAGGAAAAAGGTACAGAAAAGGAACGAAATTTTCTGGAAGAAGATCTAGGATTAACTTATTGGTATAAAATATTTGTTACTGGCCCCATTTGCTTTTAGGAGATCAACAACCATTGACATTTTTATTGGTTCATCAGCCTTATAATGCATTTTGAAGCTGACCCAGGACTGTGTAAAGCATATACTGGCACTTAAATTGATGCCATTTTCACTCTCTGGTCACTCTCTTTCTGACCAAACATCTCCCAGTTGCTCTGGGCCTGCTTTTCTGGAGAGGTTTCCTTGGTTTTCTTTACATTTAAAGTCTCTGCCCTGAGAGGCTCTGACAATGATTTGGAATTGTTAATGTCAAAAATGCTTTGTAGGATGTCATGGCAGTTGTGGGAGGGAATAGATATCCCTGTCATGGCCTCTTCCCAGAAGGGGGAAGCTGAGGCACAGCGACCAGCACCTCTCCGGATCTCCAAACCTCCAAATCTCCAAGAAAAAACCTTGGAATTAGTCCAAAGCTTCAACAAGATGACCACATAAAACACAGGAGGAGTTCTGCATTACGCATCCCATGGGGAAGAGGGTGAGAGCCACAGAGCTGGCAGCACTCATCCTGGGGAGGCGAAGCTACAGCCCCCTTGGATGCTTTCACCCAGTACGCTGGCACCTAAGCTTTCTTGCCTGTTTTTACACATAGGTTAGGTTTTAAAGTGCTATGCACAGAGCAAGCATTTCTAAGGAAAACCAGGGAGTGCACAATTCCCAGAGCCGTGGGTTCCCCGAGTGTCTTGGGCCAAGAGCCTGTCAGTCAGTCCTGCCCTCTTCCGGCTCCCACGCTGTCCCCTCCCTTGCGCTGACACAGCCGTGAGGTGAAGTGTGTTGGGAAATACATCCCGCCCTAATCTAGCCCAGCAAAACATCTGAATGGCTGCGGAGGGAGGCATTTGCTTCTTTTCAGGGTGTCACCAGCACATCCTGGATTCAAGTCCTTGTGGAGCCACCGTGTCAGTACAATTCACTGCTCCCCGGGAAAGCCAGGAGCTTCGCTAGTTTGTCCCAACGGCTTCCGGCTGAAAGAGGGTTGTGCTGCAGCTGGGAACTCAATCAGGCGAGTTTCGAAACACTCATTCATACGTGGGCCTTCCAGTCCTTAATGCACCTTTACTACAGTCCGTGGTGCTTCCGAGCCTTGTCAACAGTGCAGTCGAACAAAGGCTGGTCTCAGGACTTCGTGTTGTGTAAATAAACCTTGTGCCGAACAGGGTGTCACTGAGTTAATGTAAAGCCTGGAGAGGGGAGGGCGTGGGAGCAGCATGCCGGTGCTCACATTCTGTTTTCTGCACTGGATTGCAACAGGATTGCAACAGCCCAGCCTATCTGAGCTGCTGCACGTACCCTAAACATGTCTCTGCGCTTGAATTTGATAGGGGTGCCAATAGAACCAGATACCTTTCTGGGGAATGAGAATGGGCAGCAAGGTTTGCTTTTGAGGGAATGCCGAAAGAAATAGCAGTTTTCTTCTTCGAGTGCTGATGCTTTCCAGGTGGCCCAGCAGGCAGCTGAACAAAGGAAATGTATATAGCAGCATCCACTCAAGGGGTTAAAGTTTTAGGGTAAGGAAAGGGAATGTTGAAAATCCCATGAACTTTAATACTTATGCCTTTGTGGTAGCTGTGCCCCTTTTTTGCTTCTCACAGATCAGTAATCAGAGGACAACTGACAGGAATAACCCCCCCTCTGGTAAAAATACACAACTGTTTCTGAAGCAAAGGGCATTTCATAGGCAAAACTGTATGGTGAAGTACATGCTCAGGGTGCTTTTCCATGCATCAGGAAGTTTTACAAAGAGCACGCTACCTTTTAGCAAGTACTTTTCTGTTGGTTTCAAACCCCTTTGTTGTTTTCCTTCTAGGATGAATTTTCCCACAAAAGGTGATATAAACCGTAAGAAAAGTCTCGGTAGAGTTTACTGCTCCCCCTACTCCTTTCATCCCTCCCTCCCTCTTCCCCCAAACGCTGGGAGCGCTTAAAGACATTTTAGTATCCTGGAGATTGAAAACAGTGTCTTTAACTTGTACTTGTCCTGTACTAGCTCTGACTTTCATTGCCTTGTCCTCCCCTTTACTGAGAGTACATGTGTAAGTACTCCCTCTGATGTTTATGCCCT